ATAATATTTTAAATAATATAATATATTATAAAATGATATTTAAAAAATATATTTAAAATAATATTTAAAAAAAATATTTATAAAATAATATTTAAAAAAACTATATAAAATAATATTTAATAGAAAAATAAAATAATATTTTAAAAATATATATAAAATAATATTTAATAAAAAATTAAAATAATATTAATAATAATAAAAATATACCAATATAAAATAATACTTAATAAAAAAATATAAAATAATATTTAAAAAACAATAAAATAATATATACAAAAAAGATATATAAAATAATCTTAAAAAAAAATATATATAAAATAATATTTAAAACAAACATACCCAAAAAAAACTTCTAAAACAGTTTAAAGGGCATTGCATTTACACTTAATTATAATAGTTAATTATACTTTTTTCAATAGCAAACTAAAGTAGCATTTCATTAAATATTTTTATTAGACGAGTAATATTTTTCATTGATATTTCAGAAATACCAGAAGGAACTTCGGGAAGGAACTTCGTGAAACACTGATTCTATTACATTGTGATTGTAACAAAAGTCACGGTAACGAATCGTACCATAACGCGTGGAACAATTGCCATACAGTTGGACTTGGGAGTGTCGAAGAGGCAGGCACTAAATAAAATGCCTGCCTGTAAAATAATTAACATATACTTGACAAAGTTTAGGTGTCCTGTGTATGCTTCAGCCAGAAAACATTCCCCTTTGTCTCCCCTTTTCCAGTGTTCACCAAAAATCATATTGAATCTTAAATAATGAGATTTTCTTAAAAGCAATAATATTGAAAATACTAGAAAGTATTAGTAAGTTCTATGTCACATTAATAGATAACATCTATAAACGTTTTACTTATAAAATCAAAGTTAAGGTATTATTATTTCCCTTAAAAGTCATGGAACTATTTTAAAGATAATCAAATGGCGTAAGAAACTATCGAAGACTACTAAAATAACTACTAGTACGCTTTGCAGGCGTAAAGAAATAAATATTAAATTTTAAATACGACGAAAGGAACTAATTTTAAATAAAAAATTTTAAGAATGAACTCCTTTTTATTATATGGATTATATTATGTCACTAATTTTGCAATAGCAATTTAATCATAAACAAATCAAATTAAGTCTCAAAAACTATTGTGAACAAGTTTATAGAAATCAAAAGCTAAAAGATAAGGATGATATTAATATAATTTTTACCTTAAAACCCGAGTAAACAAACTTATAACGTAATAACTATTACAAAAAAAAATTTAAACTAAAAGAAATTTGTTTTCTACAAAAATATAGAAAAGCCTTCCTAGTGGAAAAGTGTTTAACTACAAAAATTTATTTTTAATTAAATAAATTTCTTGATTAACCATATAGCTGGTTCAGATATTCCCAAATATTCATTATCAGTGCTCTTTGAAAGCACCTATAGGTTTAATTGTCCGTATATATTTTTCGAACTCCAAGAGTCAGAACTTTAACCCTGTCAATGTACACTTAATATACTTTATAATTGTTTATTTATAATTGCAATGTTATCAATCAAATCCAACGCACAAACCACAGCTATATAAATGTACAATAACTATATAATACTAAATATAATAGTTGTTTTTTTTTTCAAATTTTCCGAAACTTAGAAATCCAAATATTATATATGGGCTGTGAAACCACAAGATATGCTCAAAGACCATTAAAACGGCTGTATGGTCTGCTCAATAAAATGCCAAATAAAAATAAATTTGTGTAGTTAAAAACTTATTTACTATAAACCTTTTCTTTATACGAAAATAGATACTTTATTATTAAGGCAATAAATTATTTATTTCTATATTAATATTGAAGCTGATTCAATTAAAATCAAATAAAACAAATTAGTCTATAAAAAATACCTTATTGTTATAAACTATTAGAATATAAGAAATAGAATATTATGAACTAATCTCAAAAAGATTCAATATATATAAAAAAAGAAAATTAAATACAAAAATAAATAAATAAATAAATAAAAATAATAATAAATAAATAAATACAAATAAAAATAAATAAATAAATAAATACAAATATAAAAAAATAAATAAATACAAATAAAAATAAATAAATAAATACAAATAAAAATAAATAAATAAATACAAATAAAAATAAATAAATAAATACAAATAAAAATAAATAAATAAATAAAAATAAATAAAAACAAATAAAAATAAATAAATAAATAAATACAAATAAAAATAAATAAATAAATACGAATAAAAATAAATAAATAAATACAAATAAAAATAAATAAATAAATACAAATAAAACTAATAAACAAATACAAATAACAATAAATAAATATAATTAAAAATAAATAACTACATATATAAATACATAAATACACCGTGTAAATTTTTTTACACAGTAGATACGTTCCTCAGAAATCTGTGTAAAAAAAACCGTGTAAAAAAAACCGTGTAAAAAATGCCAAATGTCGAACAAGACGGTGATTTTGAGACCGTACTAGATTAAAAATTTTTTACAAAAATTTTTTTTTTTCAACCATGTAACTTCAAATCCGTGTAAAACCGTGTAAAAAAAGAGTTGGGTGTACAAATAAAAATAAATACAAATAAATAAATACAAATAAAAAATAAATAAAACTAAATAATAAATTAAAACAAAAAATAAACAAAAAATCATTTTTATTTGTTTCAAAATAATTTCTTTTATTTTAAAATAAAAATAAATAAAAACTAAAAGAAATTAATAATAAAAAATAGCAAGATTATAAAATATAACTATAAACTTAAACTATGAAGATAAGATTTATTAATCTATAAATTTTATATTATTCTATATTAATAACACCTATAGCAATATCTCTTCATAAATTTCAGATATCATTAGCTAATAAATTAGTTAAAAAATTAAATCCTAACTAAATGAAAAATAATTATTTTAAGGAAGCAAATTAAATATGAACTTATATAGCTTTAAAGCAATTTAATAAATTAATATTTAGAAATTTAAAGAAAGCTTGGAAAACCTAAAAATCTAAATAATAGTAAGTCCTATTAGTAGCTCTAATATTTCATGTTCAAACTCGCAAAGCATTTATACATTAAAATTGTAAATTAAAAAAGGAAAGGAAGAAATACATATTTAACTAAATAAACTTTATGTAAGCATTTTTAAACTTTTTACACGCACCTAATGCTTTGCATGAATTTTTTCCTTTAAATATAACTTATAAAATTGCATACAATTATTAACATCTATAACAAACTAACCTGTTGTGTGATGGTGGTGCGGGCAAAGCTGGCATCTGTCGACGATGACGGTTTCTTTGTTCTTCATAATCATCATCATCGTCGACGGATTCAATGGTTATTGCTTGGCGTGGGCGATGCACTGCACCTCCAGTCACCATACCACGTTGTGCACGTGATGTGAATTCACGATCAAAATCTTCAGCTTCTTCCTCTTCCAAATTAATAAATTCTTGACGTTCTTCCAATTGACCAGAATTTAAATCTTGTTCTTTTTCAATAATATGTGAACGTTCGCCAATATGATGGCCTATAGCCATTTTTTTAATACCTTTTGTTGAATCTTGTATTGTTTTGCGAGTTTCACGTACACCGCCTGGACCAGTTTTTGTGCTAGTTGTAGCTTGATAAACTTGTGGACGACCGTCAGGGCCCGATGACATCGTAACAACAGAGCTTGAACAATATGAAGCACCAGCGCCTCCACCATTCAAATCTAAAACATATTAATTTTATTATTATCAAATATACTTAATTGATAATATAATATATTTTATAGGATAATCCATTTTGTGGACCTTTGTGGGTGCAGTTTTATTGTGAAATTTGTCAAATATAATTCAAATCCATATGTTATCATATGTTTTGTTGAAAGTTTGCCATTTCACAATACAATTTGTTTAACAATCGCGGAATATACTGATGAGTGCTCCAACTTGTCTATAAGTTGGATGAGGATGTTTCGCTTCAAGTTTTTTTGAGTAATGAGACTCAATTTTCGCTTGATCGATAGGTCAACAAATAACATTTTAGCATTTGTGGCAATAAATATCCAGAAGAATCTACCAGAAGTACCGAAAACCTATACAGTCAAAACCTTTATCGCCATATGATCATTTATTTTACGTACAACCGTATATATGATTATCGAAAATACAAGGTTTTAAAAGGACGGTGACACAAACCATACAGCACATATTATTTTAGATTTCTTGAGTGAGGAATTTTGACGGACGTGAACTCCCACGTTTTGGTTATCAGAATTGGCAACTAAAACCGTTTGTTCGTTTGTCCGTTTGTCATATAGTTTTTACGTCGAGAAACAAAGGATTGTATTTATGTTATAGTCAAGCTATTGCCAAATATTAATAGGTCAAGGCAACGAAAATAGACTCAAAAAGGAAACAGTATTGTAAGATGTAGCACAGAAAACAGGTCCATATAATATATTAAAATTGATCGAAGTCTCAATCGCAAGTGTTTCATTTCATATTTACTTTCTGAACCATAAAATAGATAACCCTGTATAATATTTATTTATTTAAAATGTTAAAGTCTATAACTCACCAGCATTTAAAAGACGATTTATATTTGGCATAGCTGGGAAGCCAAACAACCCCATTTGATTTGGTTGATTATGACGTTCCATTAGCGCATTATCCTCAAAGCCAAGATTAATGGGTGCCAACATATTGAATGGATTTGGCGCCATCATTGAATTCATTAAACGATTCATCGAACGCATTTGCATATTCATTGCGTTCATAGGATTTCTGTAACAATTTAAATAAATCTTATTTCACATATCTAAAAAAAGTACATAATATGAAATTAAAATAGGAGTGAATATATTACTCTTCGCCTGTTGAATTTGGAGATTTCCGCGATTTTCCATGCCTACGAGGCATTTTTTGACGCTTCCAAATTCAAAGTTTAAAGACTTGCGATTTTTAGAATAATTTAGTTTTAAAAAGTTAATTTTTTTCTATTTAGCAGTTTAACTTTATAAATGACATAGTATTCAAAGAAAAAAAAAAATAATTGACTAAAATTATTCATATGTAATACTTACAATATATATATAATTACATGGATTTAAAAAAAAACTATTTTTCAATGAATATGAGATTTTCATAATAATTAATGTAATTTAATGTAATATGTAAAATAATTCTCATTTTCACCAAGTGCTGACAAAGCGCCAAAATCTGACAATCAATGGAATTTGTTGTCAGAAAATTTTTAATAAGTCATATCATGTCTAATTCCTTGGTCCCAGAAAAAAAAATAACGTTTATTAAATCCATTGTCAAAAAAATTCTTACTGCTCTAGATATTATAGGAAATTTATTGCATTAAGAGGACCGTCTTCTGGAAACTACTGCATAAGTGTATAAAGCCATAAACATTCATCTTTAGCTGTCTTTAGTGCTTCACATTCCACAGATGTAAAGGATACATCGGAGCTGTCATCTTACTTCTAATAATAAATGTTCTCATGATTTTATAAGGACGGCCGTCTTTTGGAAACTACTGCATAAGTACAAAAAGCTATTAACATAGCCGACTTTAGCCCTTTACAGCCCACAGATACAAAACATAAAACGGAGCTGTCGTCTTACTACTTACGGTGTTGTTTGAATGTTTAATTTATATAGCGCTTTAGATATAAAATATCATTCTGAAACTACGGCATGGGGTAGAAGAGGGAAACTTTAGATTATTTCTATATCTTCCATATATTTATTTTAAAATTTGTAAAGCATACTGTTGAATCTGATTGAATTCTAAAATAAATAAATGGGAGATGTACAGATGAGAGGAGTGGAGTTTTGAGTGGGTTTTGAATTAATATGAGTATGCTGAACTTAAATCTGTAACGAATTTTTCTACTAGGTTTAAGGATCTCTATCAATAATTGGTTAAAATTCAAAAAGGTACGAATTTCGGGTCTTCATTAAACTTTTTTGAGTCGCAAAGTTTATAATGAAGACAAATAATTTTTAAATAATAAATTTGAAAGTAAATATATATATTTTAGTTCCTATTTAAAAAAAATTTGTACTTGCCCGAATCAGCACTTACCGGGTAGGCACCAGACCAATGTTTTTAAATGACATGGTGATTATTTTTAAGGGGTTTTGATTATTTGAAATAGTAAATATTAAGTACATATAATAATTTTGTAATTATATGAAATATTCGGAAAACTACTAGAACAGAAAATTAAGAATATGTGTCATTTACTACTAAAAGGGAGAAAAATTTTTGCAGGACTTAAGCTACTGCGCAGCAACAATTACAACATAGAAAAATGCATTGCAACATTTGTATAAATCGTTTTTTTTTTCTGTAATAAAATAATACAATTTAAAAAATTTCATAAAAACTATTTTTACTGATTTTTGTTTAATTTTTTTTAGAAAAACATTCTTACATATGTTAACCCACCATGCTGATTAGTGTAACCACTAACACATATAAAATCAATTTTGGCCTTGACTTCAGTGTATATAAAATATGTGAACCACTTTATCATATTTTTATTTAGTTGCGGTTTTTTTTTGTTAAAAATAAATAAATTAATTAATTTAATTTAGACATAAGGAAATCTAGATATGCGATATTCAGATGTTTTCAAATTTGTCGCTTCGCGAATTTTCCAAACACGACTTTCGTGTTTACAACAACAAAACTCATCAAAACTAATTTACGTATACATACAAACATTATATCGATTTATTCGTCGACAATGCAGAAAAAATATCAATTCAACGTTATCCAATTAAAAATTAACATTTAAGTTAATGTTTATATCTATTAACAACTTTTGAATACAGAATGAGAAAAATTTAATGTTTTAGCGTAATTTATTTACATATTAATAGTACAATATTAAAAATAAAAACCTGTGAAAGGGCGTCTTTACGTCGCATTTACTTTTCATACAAATGCAAAAGAAAATTATATAGACATGTATAGAAATACTTTTCATAAAAACCATTAAAAATTTCGTTTGCATATTATTTATACAATGATATATGTTTATAAACATAAAAAAATTAACATAATTTTACTGGTATATGTAATTGCACACCTATAAATTATATATTTTTTTTCTCATTTTCTAACTTACCCAAATATATCATCATCAAAATCTCCCATTAATGAACCAAACAGCGACATTTTTTAAGGAATATTTTATAGCTTTACGAAATAAAATTAGTTTTTTGCTTTCAAAATCTGACTACAAAATCTGTTCAGTAAAATTTTATGTGCTCGGTACAACTCACTTATACTTCGTTTCACGACAGAAAATAAAATGATGCCATGTTATGAAATTTACTACAAAAATGAGCATGAAATCATTTATCGATAAATTATTTCGATAATAACGTTACCATATGCGGATTTTTTTTTATAATAATTTGGTTCAACATTGCTTTATTAAGGCCGTGTACGAGTTCGAATAAATTGAGGGAATTCACTATTTCCCTTTATGTCAGCATGGCAGCGAATATTGGTATTTACCAGAATTTCGAGTTGGGTAAATTAGATAAAAATTAAGTAAATTTGCTATTACCAATTTTGTAAGATATTTAATAAATATATAAAAAGGTTTTTTCGAACAATAGTGAACTACAACAACAAAAATTTTATTTTTTTATATTATTTTAATTAATTAAATTTTTGACTGACCATACAGCTGTTTCGAGTATTGCCAAATACCCATCATTATTCGTAAATAATTACTTTTAAGACTGCAAATACCAGAAATTGAACTTGGATCCTGCAAATGTGAAGTTCAGAATCAACGCACCTTAACCAACTGATCCAAAGCCGTGCTTGACTTTTTTATGTTCGCATATTTCATTGGAGTTTTGTTACTTTTGCTATTAAAGTTTTTATTAACAATTTTACTTACTGTGTTTATATTAGAACGAAATAATTCTACCAGCTGTAGAATAATTGAATTAATTATAGTTTTATTTTTAATTGTTAAATTTCAATACTATTCGTAAATAAATAAATTTGAAAACTTTTAACTAAAAATAATATATAAGTGCAATATATATATAAATAAATATTTACATAAGTGCATTGCAAAAAATCCCTAAGAAATTTCAATTTACTCTACCTCAAATTCTGACTCGGATACGCCCATAAATCATTATTATTTCTAGAAATTTTTATTAAATATTTTAATAACATTCATTATAACTGAAATACATTAAAATACATTAATACATTAAAACACTACATATGAGTAATATAGTTATATGGGAACAAAAAGAATTTTATCTAACGACGGACTTGACATTTCTCTTGGTAGGTTTATAGCACATTCACACTATCCCATTTAGGCAGTTTTGCTATAGGAAATGATTTACCATACAAAATTTTTCATATAAATGAAGTCATTATCAAGAAAACAACACATTTAAGATAAAAAATATCAAATGCAACCCTTAAATATAAATTTCCCACACAGTAAATTACCAAAATTTATGTATGTGTCAAATCGCATACCCTCTTCAAAAGAGATTTTGAGAGCATTGTTGTTGCTTCACATGTTTTCGTTCATAAGTTGCGAGTATTTTTTTGCTACTCTGAAAGAAAAAATTACGGTTGATGTTGTAGCGTGTCGTAACGCAAAAGCGTCCACAAAATATAATAAAGTTGAAAATGTATGCTTTTTATTTTTGTGTATAACTTCATATACATTAAAATTAATTTTAAGTTATGATAAACAATATGAAATCCATTATACTAATTACGATAAAATAAAATTAAGTCTAGAAAGTAAGTGTAATCAATTATAATTGAACTGCAAGAGAATTTAGATAATTTTATGATAACATTTTTTTAAGTAGAAAAAATCAAGTAATAAGTACTTTACTATATAAACCAATTTTAAATAATAATTTAAAACAGTTTTCTTTAAAACTTAATATAACATGTATACCAATAAATTGTTTATATTGCTGTCCATAATAGCTATCAGTGCTAATGCTGCAGTTATCAATAAAGATGCAATTGTTACACCGACCACTATTGCATTGCATCCATATCAAGTGTCTGTACGAGTTGATGGTATTCCTTCTTGTATTGGAACGATTATCAGCGAACGAGTAGTAATAACAACTGCTTTGTGTATATATCTGTTTAGTCCACCTACCTATAGCATACAGTACGGCGTAAATACAATTGGTGGCTCAGAAAATGTAATTACAGCGGAACTATTAGTAAAACATCAACACTTTAATCCTGTCAATTTTGATAATAACATTGGCGCTATTATACTTAGTGAAAGTATACCACTTAGTGAAAACACCAAATCCATTGCATTAGCCAAAAGCACTCCTGCAGCAGGTACAGTTGGTGTGCTCACAGGTTGGGGCTTAATAGCCAATACAGCCATATTAGACGAGATTAATTTGGAAATTATTAGTAATACAAAATGTGCTGTCAAATATACTGGACTAAATGATATAAGTAGCAGTGTTTTGTGTGCTGGTGTTTATGAAGACTTGAGTCAGGCCTGCGATGGTGTTGCTGGCGCACCATTTGTTGTGAACAATACATTGGTTGGTATACTTTCCTTTGGCGATGGTTGTGGTTCCACAACCGATCCAGCAGTTTTTACTAGTATTCCTAGTGCTTTAGAATGGTTATCTAATGAAGTGAATGATGTCAATGTTATATCCAACATTGTTTAAAAATACTATGGAGCAGTTTATGATATAGTCTAATTTCATATTAATCTTTGTTGTTAATTAATTACTTGATAATTCAATTGAAAAAAAAAATAAACGAAATAATTTATTTAATATAGTTTTAAATTTAGAAACTGTTAAACCCATATATATAATTTAAAAAAATTACTATAATCTATTTCTCTCATGGTTAGAGCCTTTTTATTACCAAAGTGTTGTCGCAAAATAAGGCTGTTTATATGTCTTTAAAATATATAATCTTTGAGACAGATTGTTCCAAAACTAAAAAAAACTTTAAATATTGCAAAAAAAAAATTATCAAATAGTTTGCAACTTTACTGTAGAAAATTTAGTACTTTTCAATTGGGTAGAAAGAAATACCTGAGCATAGCCAAGGGGTATATAGAACTATTTCCTACCTACCCATGCTCTAAAAATGTGTCAGAAGTAATATTTCTTAATACAAAAAGGTCCAGTACAGACCCTCTAAGTGTTTTTCATTGATAGCAATGGAGTGAATATGTGTATCTCCAATCAGTTGAACACAACAAGTTAGAAGTAATATTTCATAATACAGATAGGGTCCAGTAGAGCCCCCTAACTATGTTTGATTGATAGCAATGGTGTGGATATGTGTATGCTCAAGTAGTTGAATACACCAATTCAAAGCAAATTCCCGATTTTAATATAATAACATTTTTGTAACAAACTATATGATAATAAATATTTAACCATTCTTTAATTTTATTGTAGTAACAGTTTTCATAAACACATATATACAAAGTCGATCCCTAATATGTTATTAAAACGAATTGTTAAAATTATTTTCAAGGGTTGTGGCACCTATTGACACATTTTCTGGCTACGCTTATAAATAATAACCATTGGGTTAAATATAGTTCTTTAAATATTGTAAAAAAAATTTTTTTATCTAAAGATTTATGTCTATTTTTCGTGCGAAATAAATGTTAGTATTAAGCATTATCATTTATACATATTTTTATTGGGTATAAAAAATTTTATTGGGCTTTGTAGATTTTTATGTATATGGTGCACACATATCCAATATATATAAATAAATAAATATTTTTTATTAATATAAAAACAGACCACAACGATCGAATTAAATTCCCTATTGAAATCGTAAAGATAAGAAAATACGCACTACTAATAGATTAGTTTTGGCCAACGGCTTTAGATAAATTAAACCTGAAAATAATAAATACTTATGACATAGACTTTAAGATACCCTACGATATTTAGTATTTATTTTTATGTAATTAATAAAAAAATTTTTTAAAAAGTAAATCTTTGATGTAATTTAGATTAACGAAATAATGAAAGAGTATTAAGAACTATTGCAGTTTCTGCACGGAATAATTCTTACTGTTTGATATCTTATTATTTCATTATATTATATGTATATTTTTGTATATAGTATGTGTATGTTTTTATAAAATTGAATTTTTTTTGATTTTTATATAAAAAAACATGAAAAAAATAAAACAACAACAACAAATTAATTGTCAGATTAAATACTCATATAATTGTTATTGTCTTTACAACTAAAAGACTGACAATAGAAAGTAATTTTTCATTGATGAAAATATACGTGAGGTACAACAACTAGACACACTTTTATTACAGATAAAAAGTAATTTATATTATATTAGGAATATTCACAGTTTTGGTAAACAAGTAACATGATAAGACTGTTAAGTGGCAATAATAAAATTAATGTACTCGAAATGTATTTTGTCACTAGTTTATTCGGTTATCAAGTATACCCGATTACCAAAATTTTGAATACCCTCTTATGCTTACAGGTCAGCGTTTGAGTTGTTTCTGTCTCTGTTCCTCTCTCATTTGTTTGTTTGTATCAGTCAAACCTGTTTTTATACGGTCTTTTTTGTGCGATTTTCTTTTGTGCGACTTTTTTTATGCGTTTCTTCTTTCTGTTTTTGTATTTTGTACAAAACTAAACATTTGTAATTCAGCGCTGATATTTAAGCAGTCTTTTACTTGCAACAGCTGCGCACATCATAAAGTATTTTTAACAGTTCCTCAATTGAAGGACACAGTTCTGTGTTATGAAGAAATAAAGAAGGAGAAATTCTTAGAATTAAATGATATTACCTTAGTAAGTAAAGTGGAATGTAAGTACATTTATTTATGATAGCAGCGAATGCGTGAAATAAAATAGACTTCAATCGAAATTGCATCAACCAATTACTAATTATTATCTGAACTGTGTTAGTGAGAAGGCCGCTTAAATCAAAAAATATATAACTGTTTCAGCAACATCAACTGATATTTTTAAAGTGCTTTCATATTTCTGGACTATTACCATAAGATTTATTTCAAAGCGTAAATTGAGGGTAAATTTTATAAGTTTTTTATTTAAATTTAAAAAAAAAAATTTTAATTGATATATTTTTATTTTTAGACATAATATCTGAAAATGAATAAGCGGGAAAACAAAACGAAGAGGACGGTTATTTCCTTGGAAACTAAAATCAAAATCTTAAAACGGTTAGCAGAAGGTGAAGGATCCACTGCTCTAGGTAAAGAATTTGGATTAGGTGAATCCACCATAAGAGGCATACAAAAACGTGCAGGTGAAATAAGTGCATCTAGTCATTGTGCCACAAATGAAAGCGTTAAACGATCATCTTATTCGAGAAATATTTTGATCGAAAAAATGGAAAAGGTGCTCATATCGTGGATTCAACAATTAACTCAAAAAAGAATCCCAGTTGACGGAGAATTAATTAAAGAGCAAGCAATATGGTTTTATAACCAGCTGAAGGATTTACAACCGTCTTGTTCATCGTCTCACATTGGAAGCTCAAAATTTTCGGCAAGCAATGGTTGGTTAGCCGGGTTTTCACAAAGACACGCACTTCACAAACTGAAGATATCGGGCGAAGCTGCACCTGCTAATGTGACAGCTACTAATAAATATTCTAAACAGTTAGAAAAAATTATTGAAGATGGTAGTTATTCCCCGGAACAGATATTTATTGCTAAGCTAAAGCAAGAAGAACCCGAGACAATAACAGCAGGTAACATCTATGCAGGACTTCAAATTTGTAATAAATTAGAAAATCATTTTCTTGCAATTGATGGTAATTCTAAAAGAGCTTTAAAATTCCAAAAAGAGCTTCAATCTTGTATATCTGGCTACCGAAACATATATAAGCGTCTTGTGAAACAACGATTGTCGCAAAAATTAATCACCGACTACATAACAATTCAAAAAAAGCCAAATTTAAACGAATGCAAGGGATTATCTATAAGTGACGAAAGCGATTTTGAAGAAGCTTGTGACAAGAAATTTCGCGTATCATTAGATGACGAAGAATAATGTATAAAAAATGTTATATGTATAAAAATTATATGTGTAAATAAAATATTTAAAAATATTCTCACATGTATTTTCTAAATCAAAATAATCAGGTTTTAAGTGATTTTCTACCGGAGACGGTCCTTATTCACCGTCTTTATCGACCGCACAAAAACATGTTATGCTATAATTCGGTTTTGAGTTATTTCTACTGGAGACTATACGGTCCCTATCCACCGCACAAAAACAAGTTTGACTCTATTTATTCGTTGTATCTTTTCATTTTGTATCATAATATCAAACTATTTATCAGACTATTTAGATACTTAAGTCTGTAATTCATTTCCGATTTAAGTATTAAAGCAGTTCATTTGAATATACATAGGTCATACACATTTTAATTTAAATATTTCAGGAAAGAATTTTCTTCTAAATCACTAATAACTTATATAAATAAATAATTAATCTAGAAACTTAACATTCATCACTTTATGGTGTTTAGGGTATATTGCGGTATATTATCCACAATGCTTAAAATATTGAAATTAAATTTCATCCATTTAATAATAATTTAAGATAATTTCTGATAATATTTTATTTTTAAAATATATAAATAAAAAAAAATGTATGATAACCATTAAACGATTCGTAATTTTTGTATAAAAATCCCTGCAAAACTACGAGTAGGTTTAGTGGGATTATAAATTCACAACATAAAAATGTTTAGGCTTTTGATTTTGTTATTGGGACTTGTGCTAACCACCCAAGCTAATGTTATACGAGTCAATGATATATCAGATGGACGAATGATAAATGCTGACACCACCAATATAGAGCAATATCCATATCTTGTGTCTGTACGTTTGGATGATGAGCATTACTGTGTTGGTAGCATACTAAGTGAACGTATTATATTAACCGGTGGTATGTGCCTCTACGGTCAAAGTACTTCTAAGTTAAATATTCAATACGGTATGACAAAAATTGGTGGCGACGAAAATATTATTGCTGCAGAATGTTTCATTGTATATCCACTATTTAATCCGGTCAATTTTGATTATAACATTGGTCTGATTATACTAAGTGATGATATACCACTAAGTAGTACAGCACAACCAATTACTTTAGCTGAAAATAATCCCGATGCCGGAATCGAAAGCACTTTTATTAGCTGGGGTTCAGAAACAGATGATACTATATTGGAAAGATCTTATCTTACGACCATAACAAATCCTGAGTGCTCTACACAATGGCCATTCTTTTTAAAAATTGAAGATTATGTTCTCTGTGCTGGTATTGGAGACGAAATGGGCAATGCTTGTACTGGTGACGGTGCTGCTCCTTTAGTTGTTGATGGGACATTAATTGGTATGTTGTCGTGGGGTGGTAATTGTATGCTACCAGATCATTCAGGTGTCTTTACGAGAATACCATATTTCTTGGATTGGATTAATAATGAACTTTCTTTATTGTAAATTATGTCCTAACATCTCTAAAATACTTATAATTTTATAAAATAAAGCAATTAATACAAAATTTTACAAATAAAAATTTGTTTTAAATTTTAAATTAAATTAAATTCAAATCTTGATTTTTTAAAAGCTGTTTTTATTGAATAGTAATAATATATAAATTCTTATATTTGTATTGATGTTAGTACAAGGCCACGGATGTTTGAGTTTTTAACCTAGGAGAATTACAATAAATCATAAAACCATCCAAACTTGTAAAAAAATTTTTGCCACAATTATTTAATAAAGATTTGTGAGATCTGAAGCTTTAAGAAACTTTTAAGAAAGAACTTTTCAAAGCGAATGTTATTTTTTTAACAAAAAGTTAACACTTTAGATGCCCTCTTCTTCGAGTATCTTGATCAATTACAAGACCTGACACTAAACAGAATTTTGAGCTTCGTTAATAGTTCTAGATGGTTTTAAATCCTGAGTTTTCCTAAACATACAGTAACACAATAGGCCTAAAGGAATCCCTAGGGATCGCTGGTATAATCCAACCTAACATAAAGTTTCTATGTTGTCCTTCCTACTCATGTTTTTAAATGTGACATATATAAGGAACAGCTTTTTTGTGTAAGAAACATAAAACTCAACAAAAAGTTATACCTACTGTATATAGACAGTTACAAGTGTTAGTATCACCAGTATAATACCCATATTTCAAAGAATAAACTTATCGGTTTATTTTATATTTAATTGGTTATATTTTATATTCCAATGGATTAACTATCTTTCGCAATATATTGTTGAATGTGGAATCCAAATTTTTAATAAAATATTTCCCTCAATAAAAAGACTTACAAATAATAAAATTTTCTACCAACACAATTAATGTTGTATAATTATTTTATGTATAATACTTAAAGAAACTTGATGAAGTCTGCTCTTTCTAAACTAAAGTACACTCTTTCTCTTTCGAGTACCCTAAAGCGACAGTACAATCATACCTTGACCTATTACAAAGCGTTAAAAATCAAACAAATGTTACCTATATATTCATCGGAATTAATCTTATAATTTTATTTAAAGATAAAAATAAAAATATTTTTGTTTTATATTTATAAATCCCTCTTGCAAATCATAATAATATCTAACAATGTCACTGATTATCGGCAAATCAAAATATTTATTTACCTACGATTGTACATTTTGAGTTCGTAGCAATTTGAACCCAAATTATTTACAATAGAATAAAATATAATACCTTAAACACTCGTACTATATCTGCATTATCATTTCTCTGTTTATCTCTCTTACTCTTAATTTTTATAATAATATTTTAAATATTTGATTATCGGAAGTCTTCAGTAAAATACGGAAAACAAACAAGTACCGACAAGACCGACTATTTGAACATTCAAAAAATCGAATTCATGGGTCATCCGCCGTACAGTCCCGATTTGGCATCACAAAAACAGCACAAAAGAATAACTTCTTCTTGCTTCCTAACACCAAGAATAACGCTTTTTGTCGTGAAGAAGCAGACGCCGTTGTTGCATTTAAAAACCATGTTTTTGAGGTGTCTGAAGAAGATTGGAAAAAATGCAATGAAATTTCGAGTTTACGAATGACTAAATGCCGGAACATAAAAGAAAGTTAATATGCTCTTCTTCCTGCTGTTGTGCTACTTATCATGCTAAACATTTTTTTTATTGAGAGGACACTATTATAGAGAAAGTATATAAAGTAAACCAAGTAATCCTCTGTTCTGGAGTAATATACTCAAAAACCGAAATTATTCTGGTTTTTAATTTAACTTGTTTCACTTATATTTTCAGCTATTTTTTAGTTTCTATCACTAAATCATTTTGTATATATTTATCATTCTATTGACTAACGTTGTTCCATTATCTTTCTTCTGATTGTTATGGAAAGAAGAATTACTGACGTTTTCTCATTGTATTCATACGTGAAATTCATTTATATTCCTTTCATCGTCGCTCTCTCCATTATAGGTATATCCATACATATTTATTTTTGATTCTTTAATAAATGATTAATTTTTGCAACGAACCAACCATATACACTACTTATCTGTCTTTGGCACTGTTTGAAGCTATTAAACCCCAAACACAAGTATTTAATCAGATTGTCGTGCAGACGAGTGCTTTAACTTTTAACTCAACTGATACTAATCTATTCATTTTATTTTTTTTATTACCCATAGATTTATATATAATTTATGATCCTGCAAGAATAAAACTTACGTTCTTTTTGAGCTATTTAAGGCCATATTTCGCCAATCTTTCTTCAGTGTTGTTTGAAATTCAATCGAAAAATGTATCGCATGTTAATCGCTTTCTGTGCCTTTGTGGCTTGCGTTAATGGCAATGTTCTTCGACCAGTTGTACCTATGCCTGATGGACGTATTGTAGGTGGTGAGGATACTACTGTGAATTTGTATCCCTGGCAGGTGTCAATTCGTCTGTTAGGCTCACATTCTTGTGGAGGTAGTATTATAAATGAAAGAACTATTGTCACAGCTGCTCATTGTGGTGGTTATCTTGCTGCTTGGTATAAAATTCAATACGGCGTAACAACTATCGGTGGTACAACAAACCTTGCCAGTGTTAAATCATTCATCAGGCATCCCCAATATGATTCAAGCGTTATCGATCATGATATTGCCGTCATTATTTTGGATGAACCTATTTCATTCGGAGACACAGTTCAACCAATTGAATTGGCTAGTTCAAGTCCAGATGCTGGCACTACAGCTGTTGTCACTGGTTGGGGCACAACAAGCGAAAGTGGCAATCTTTCAAGTACTTTGCAGAAAGTGGAAGTAGATATTGTTGGCAACGAAGAATGTAATAATAGTTATAGTGGAGTAAATACCATTACTGATCGCATGCTTTGTGCTGGAGTGAAAGACGGTGGTAAGGATGCTTGTCAAGGTGATTCTGGCGGTCCATTAGTTACTGGCAATGTTCTCAGTGGTGTTGTGTCATGGGGTGTTGGTTGTGCTCGTCCTGATTATCCTGGTGTCTACACCAATGTTGCCAACTTAAAATCATGGATTGAAGAAAATGCCGTACTGTAAATTTTATTTAAATAAATAAGATACGAAATTAAAAGTCTCTGGAAATCATGAAATAATGAATAAATAAATTCAATAGTAATTTTAAAAATATTTGGTTGAATATCTTTAACGATAGAGATTAATTAGGTAATAATAAATTTAGTTAAAAATGTTAGTAAATATGGCCAAAGTAATATTGGTCTTTCATTAGTTGAAATTATCTGTAATTATTTTTACTTTATTATGTGGTCAAAGTTGAGTCTTAAGATTGGATGAAACACCACATCCAGCGACTGTAAAATACGGGTTCAATTAATTCGAGAGTGGTCTTCGTTCTCCGCACGACGAATTTCGTAAACAACTGTGGTGCCAGAAAGCAGTGAAAGAAATTATTAAGATGGATAGGCATTTTACATACTGGGAGATAGAGGCTTTCTTGGGCACTTGTTTTCATTTTATTCCCCATAATTTTAAAATCGCTCAATAGAAGGTACGTGTTGATTGGTGCTAAGAAATACTGAAAAGGTACGGCTGGGGTAGCTCAAAACATGTCTGCGACATCGTTAAGAGTGATGGAGCTACGCTCGAACAAACTAAGAGTAAAAAAAAAGCAGCAATTCACTGTTTCTTATTTTCACAATTAGTGACAAAAATATTCCAATAACAGAGCGAATCCAAGGACTCGAAACGTCGAATTGATGGGTCTGCCTTAAAGTCCCTACGAAAGTGTAAAATATGTAAAATGATACATGTAATAAAACACAA